CAATACATCTCTATGAAATTCAGTGTTGTGGATTTCGGAAATAAAACTGTTGAGTCAATGCCAAGTTTGAAATCTCGACGGTCAACGGATGCCAAAATAATTTTACTCAATCATATAGTTTTAAAGGGATTGACTACAAGAAATCAGACTGAATTTCTACTCACCCTACTAAGAATTTCAGAATATTCATTTGTTCGTCAACAGTATAATTTTTTTCATTGAATTATGGAGGAAACATAGTTCTCAGGTGAGTATCATCATCCATGTTTGAATCGGTATCATACTAACAATCCTGTTCTCTTTGCCATTGATTGATGAAAACTTTCGAATCGACTCACATACTCAGTTAATAGGTATAGGTGTTTAATTACCTGTTGAAGTGGAATATGTTCATCAAAAATAATTGGAGTTCTGATAATCCGTTGAAAAGTAGAGGAATGAGAATCATTGATTTGGAATCCTGAAAAATCAATAAGCGCGAGATTTCCAGCATTTCACATAATGAGGATTGACTTGATCTCAACAAATAATCACTTCTGAATTCGTATTCTTGCACTTTATCAAGACTCTTTCATCCACAGAACGGCTAGGCTCTGGAATTCATTGCCTGTGGAAGTATTCCCAACAACATATAATCTCCAAAAGTTCAAAAAAATCCAATACCTACCTCCTGTACCTATCCTCTCTAGAAACGCACGATGTTCTTTGAATATTATAGGGATTCCCTTTCGTGCGCTTCAAGCGATGAAAAAAAAGTGGACCAAAAGCCCAGAATGCGGTAGATGTCCAATTTGTTCACACTCACGTAGAAGTAGAATTGTGGACCAAAGGATGGAAGCCGCGTGGGTGAAGTTGCATCGAAAAATCAGCACTAGGGCAAGAAGTATCTCATTACTAAACCAGAATCAGTGTAAAAATGTTCAACATCACATATTGGTAGTGGGTTATTATACATAAGCTGCCCGCAGGTCAAGCTGATACTTCGATTTAGCAGATAATAATAAGTAAGGTATGTTGATTTGAGGTGAACTCATTATACGAGTATTTCACAAGATTCAGATGAAAATCATGCTGTTCTTGATGGACTGTACATTTACTTCAGATCTTCATCTGGTAATTCTCTGGCTATTTAAATCGCCGAATATAAAATAACATCTGTTGAACACATAAAATGGATATGGAATAGGAAATCCTGTTGAATTGAGCATCAACATTCTCCTCCAGATGTAAGGAATAATATGATGTGAGATAATATGGAAATAAAACTCATTTAGTATTGAAATTAGGATTTGAATTATAGGGAGAGATCAACTTGTACAAACTCCAATCTTCAAAAAGTCGAATCTTGCGAAAACCATTCGTAACAATGATATTGGGAGAAACATCTCTAACAAATAGGTCATATGGCTTTATCTGAATAAAATTATTCCGGATATCGAACCTTCTTCAGTCGCCTGAAGTTTAGTCATACTTCTAGCTATTCTCCTTGGAATACACAATTTTCATCTTTCTATAACCGAAGCACTTATAATCTCTGAGAATTATTCAACCAACCTCATCTGAATGTATTGTTTGTCAAGTCTATGATGAATAGTTGTCCATCATACAGGGTGTGAAAAAACCTGAATTGGTAAGACCCAATCACAAATCTATGATAAGAGGTATGTGGAAGCAATGATCACATCACACTCTAATCTCCACAACCTGCCTTTTTTTTTCTCAACTGCTCCAGTATCCGAACGTCTTGTGTGACATTCAAATTCAGGGTACTAAGACGGTCTCCGCACGTTCTTCTCTCAGTTTCCTTGCCACAGAATATTATACTTCCACTATGAGGGTATATCACTTTGTGTTGCGAAAGTATCCAGGATCATGACGCTTGGAATGGATACATACATACCTCCTTCTCCAGAGACATCATCACCTTCATAACCGTGGTTCAACAAGAAATGTACTATAGCTGTTGCATTGGAAAAATCAGCCTACTTCATGACTAGAGCCATCGAACAACAACTTTCAGACTGTTGTTCAATGCTAGAGCAGAATACGTCGAATCAAGACATTTCTGCAGCCGAAGAATAGATGCATCAAGAGGAACATACAATGCCGAAATTAAATCAGAACTCACATATCGTTTCAATGGCGTTCGTTTAATTCCCTTGCAGAATCATTGGATAGGAATTTCATCAACACTCGATTAGTCGCGCCGGATCTGTGAGATCCACTGGTTTCATATTTAGCCGAATGGCGCTAGTCATTTGGAGTAGGAGAATATCCGTTACAGTATCCTCCTACCTTAACAGGCGTCACACTTTAGTGTTGGTTTGACTTCTCGAGTGGTGTCATTCACTGCCGTAGATACCTCATGGATCTATGAGATTCACAGCGACCAAATTTGTAAGTATTTTTGATTTATTTGATTTGCATTATTATTGAATTTTATTGTACATCTACAGCAGTGTATTACTGTTCCTTTACGTGTACTGGTGGCTGTGAAAAAGAACAGGCAGTCGATTCTGACGAGGAGGACGACTGACTAATTTTTTCCTCAGTTCTAATTACCTTCTAACTTTGAAAATGCTAGAATTAATTTTTTATAATTTTTTGTTTGTTTCTATTTTTTTCAATAAACACCTGTATTAAAAATGAAGTTTATTGATCTCAATCCACCAAATGAATAAGATAGGCCTTGATATTTTTCAAAATTATCATTGTTTCCACATTCGGATTCTCAGATCCATAGCGACTATCCATGTTCCTTTTAGGGGTGCGCCTAACCGAGTGTTAATATTCCATTTCCACCACTCTCCAAAGCGGAAGGCACATAAGCAACAACATCGCGAGATGAAGCAAAAATTTTCGCAGAGATGTCTACCTTATATTCCCAGAAAAGAATGCGACCAGACATTCCACCAGTTGAGAGTTGAATTCAATCGTCTTATGTCAACGCACTTTCAGATGCATCTTGCTTGGTCTCATTACGAATGAAGCAGTGTGCACCAGAATATACACCGATTCTCTGGAAGTTATTCACCATCTCGTACAAGTCGAGTATCATTCGATCTGGCTGTGGGAGAGCTAGAGTTCAACCAACCTTCAAAAGAGGAAACTGAAATCTGCCCAACAACTGTAGGCCTATAAACCTGCTATCAGTTATCTCCAAAATGATAGAGTCAACGATATCAATATCATCTGATATATGAAAACCTAAGACAAGATGTCTTTCTTCATCGAAAAAGATCAACATACTGGGCAGTTTCTGAATACTGTTTTCACGTTTAGCGTTCAGCTCTCAAACAAACAATGTCGCTCAATGGCTTATTCTAACTCACTTGATCTTCTGAATAGGAATAAAGAAAATGTGGGGCCATTTTGAAAAGAATCAAGCAATAGAAGGCCAAGCGAGAGTTTTCCTTCAGCCAGATGCCACAAACCTACAAGTCTCAGCAGCTGGCGACAAGTGCCTAGTTATCCTATATGGAGGAAGCAAGACGACAGACACCTTCATGATCATTACATATACCAGCAGGTGGGGCGAAGAGAGAGGCCACCGACTGAAGTTGGGAATTGAGTTCGGCTGGACTGATCCTCATTCACTAGTTGGCAAACCTCTGCCTCCCAGAGTTTTTTGAACTGCTTTCTTGCAGATGCAAGCAGAAATGTAAAAGCTTCTCCACTTATATGGAAGCAGGGCTCAGATGTTCTGTGATATGTGCTACCTACTCTCGATTAACTCGCCAGATGACTGCCCTATCATTGTCGAACAGGACGACTTCGACGAGCCTGAAGACAACCCTGACATATCACCAATACTATCGAGGATAGCGATGACGATCTACCAATAGTGGATGAGCTACCTCAAGAAGCACTCTTCAGCATCTAAAGTGACGGTGCATGGCCATCAAAAACAAGGCAATGATTTCGACTATCTGCCCATATTTGATTGATTGATCAATAGTACTCTGATGCATTTTCTTCATATTTGAATACATTCTATTATTTTATGAATGATTGTATGCCTCATTTTTCACTACCACATAAAAAAACTGGAGATTCGATATATGTTGGAACATTTATGGAAAAGTGCGAATTAACCTTATATAGGTTTTTTAGACTTTGAGAGAATGCGGGGCCAGAAGACTTCGCTCTGCGCTCAATTTGAAGATCATTAGATTGCCTACATTTTTTGTTTCCTGAGGTCTACTCGTGGGATTGATGATATTACCAAAATTTCGGTCTGAAAAAAGATCTAAAACAAAAATCTATCCTTTCTGGTAAGAATGGTCTATTATCAAAGTACCGTGATTTGGTGAGGAATTGACCTGAAGATCTGTGGGAGCATGAATTGTCACACATTTGATGCTGTTGAGAATTGCTTCCGTCGAAAAATGTATAGCTTAGGAGATATAAACCTCAAACTGAAGATAGTCCTCGAATATCACAATTTTTTGTGTGCTACACTTTCTCGAAAACTTCACAAGAGTTGGAAGCTAGGGTATACCCTAATCTAGTGAGTCCAAACAACATACTAAACAATCAGAGATATGTCATGTTTTCCGAATTTACCGATTTGCAATGTTTATTTTGACTGGTCTATATAACGAACATCGAAGAGTTATTGTTCAGATTTCCAGATCATAACTCTTTCAAGATGGAGATGAATTCTTCTCTCATCATTTCCTCGTGAATATTTTGTGGAATCATTTTTTTCTTGGATTACAAAATAATCACACTCCGCAGTTCAACTTCATATTCGAAGAACACCTTGTACAATAATTTGTTATTGAAATCACACTACGCTTATATACTCTGATTGAACCAATATTCCAACGCCTCGACGCATTTCTTGTTGAATATTCCTCCATCATGAGATCGGAAAACAATTTCGAGTCGTTGAAATATCAGTTCCGTCAATGGTAAAGAAGTTGAGTATGATATATAGATGGGTATCAAAATCCTACATCTATCACCTGCGAGGATTGTAACGATTGCATGATTACCTGATGAACTTATGGGTGACATCTTGATCGATATACTTTCATTAGAACCAAAACTGATGCCACTATCCTTACTGAGACTTGGACTCGCAGATACTTTTTTCATTCCAGCTTTCTTCTCACATGTGGCTATCGGAGAATTGCGTCGACCTTCTACTTTCAAAACTGTAGTATTTGATAGTACAGGACTGTTTTTTGGTATTTTGGAGGTCTTTGAAGATCCACTTTCTTCATTAGATCTAGAATCTCCTTCGTTCATCAGTTTATCGTGACTAGCAGAACTGTCTATGCTACTAGTATTACTATTGTTACTGAAATTATTATTATTATTACTAATGTTATTGTTAGTTTCGCTAGGAGTATTCTTATCGTTCCCTTTATTGGTTTTAATATCGGGAAACTCTTCATTCGAGCCGCAGATTCCTGTAGCAGGCATTTCACAACCCTGACAACTTTTTTTAGAAATATCTTCTTCTAGAAACTTATCCGATAGTTTAGCACTTCTACTGCTCTCACTGGTAACTGAATCTTTATCGTCTCCGTCTTCACCTTGTTTTCCCAGAGTTTGTCGTTTATGTTTCATCCTCCTGTTCTGAAACCACACCTTCACCTGCAAGGAAATTGAATGTGGATCAAAATGGAACAGTTCATGGTTTATATTGTATATATGGTATTGAAGGAATATTCGAAATCAGATTGACTGACTTTAACCAACTTGATATATTCAATGTAGATGGATTCGAAAAATGAATTCAAATACTGACTAACATTTCCAT